GTTAGGGTTTAGTTTAGCCTTAAGATATTTTTTTCTACGTTATAAAAACGGAAACCTTATTTTGAAGTATACTATCTAGCAATTACCCACGAGGAAGCCCTGGTCCGGGCCGGTCACTTTTGCATTCTGATTGGCTAACACCATATTGTCTAAAAATAACTGAACTTGACGGTTGACAATAACAAATTACAATACAATTCAACATTTGTATTTTTATAATTCTTGTACGTGTGTACGAGTATGCTTTGCAAAATAATCTTTCAAAGTAAGACGTTTTCTCGACTGCACGATTTACTTTCGCCTCGGCCGGTTACAAAACTCAAAAGCCGTGTCGAAGTGAGCTGTGATGTTTCCTGAGAAAACAAGAAATGTCTACTATTATTTCAGTTTTCCTTGTACAGTATTTATTAGTGCAGATGTCTGATGAAATACTACGCGTATTGCATTGTAGTAATATTTTAATTTACAATATTCTGTACTGACAAATAATAGCAAGACAAACAATTAAATGAAACTACTACTAAATTAATTTAGGCCCTGTTTACTTAATAGCTCTACGCCTAGGCCGATGTAGTCTACAAGATTCGCACGCCACCCAGTTTTTCAGTTTCAGAATACGCCGAATACTTGAAAATTGCGACTATACGATAAAATAAAACAAAGATTGTGAAGGGGATAAAATTTGTAGGCAAGCATTGCTCCTGAACGGCAAGTGTTGGTGTCCGGCGAAACAAGCGAACTGTATTCCTGTACAGCGTAAACCGGGTTACGCGAGGTTTTATATTTGTGTTTATTTAATATATTGATCTATAAGAGCATATTTAAACTAAATATTAATTATAGCAATAGCCATATTGTTCAAGACGAGAGAAAGGAAATTTCGTGTGAATCACCACTTGCATGGAGACGCCTAGATGCAGCTTGGATGCAGAGCTTTGCCTGTAGTTGAAAATCTCCAGAAATATCGGTATATCTTAGAAAACATAGACGGGATCTTCATAGATTTTAGCTGATTCGTGTCAAACTTCGCTCTACACATAAATAATATCGATTGAGAAGTCTTTTGGCTATTTATTTGTTTCGAAGACTTGTATATTTCATTAAAGAATATCTCGCCACTCCTTGACGAGTAGCTGTCAAATACTGCCATTTTTTGACGTCACGTGACCGGCCCGGACCAGGGCTTCCTCGTGTCTCGCCTCTTCCTCACACTGAAGCCCTGGGAACGAGGTTGCGAGAATGGTTGTTAACTATATTATTCACAGCACTACCTGCGAACAGGCATACTCTGGCGCCCGAAATGCTCGGTTTTCTGATTATGCGTGTCTCAGAATGCTGCAAATGCCATTACCGCGATTCAAATTTAAAAATTTTCCGTGCCTTCGGCACGA